TTTTAATTTTCAAATTATTATCAGAGGAATATCTAGAAATGAGGAAAAAATAAATTTGCTTTAACGTGTTATATAAAAGTATGTTTATTGAAGAGGCATCAAGGGATTTCTTTATCTCTCTGAATCTCTCTATTTAGATATTCCGCTACTTTTATTTGCAAAAGATCGTTGATTAAAAGTCTAGTTAAATAAAAAATCCGTGACTACCGGCATTTATAGATGAATGTGCAGCATTTTATTAAATTAGATATTTCCTAATTGATATTTCCTAGATTGCAAATAGTAAGCAAAAAAATAAATATGCACTTAACAGTAACACCTGCTGTATTCAAGTTTGACATTTTGTGTTGCATAAAGATTTATGATTATTTCTTGTGTACAATCTACGATTGTTCTACAAGAAAACAGTAAATTCCTTTTAATCTCTTTAACACAGTATATCATCTTTAATAAAACGATAAATTGTAACAGACAGGTATTACAATTTGCATTTATTCTGTGTATTCTTAAATACACAGAAAAATATTTTTAATTTTTAATTTTTTTACGTTTATTCAATCATAATATTCTTACTGGAATGTCATTATTAATATTTATTTTATAAAAAATTACAGTTTTAATTTATAACTATTTGATAAATCATAACGTGTTTATTAAAAGTGTTTTAAAGAAGTATACTTTTAATTAAAGACGCTACTCTTTCATTTATAAAAAGTCCAAAGTAAACTTCTCTCTCATATTCTTTCTCTAAGAATTCAAATCTGGTATATTAATGTTCAAATTATTATAAACTGTTGATGCTCTCTACATAATACTATTAAGTGCCTTTTTATAGCGTCATTTTTAGTAACTTCAGAATTATTGGCGATAAATCTTCTCGTTCCTCTTTATACAATATCGCAAATAAATTGGGAAATTTGAGGAAAATAAAATTTTAACTGATTAGATGAAAATTTAAAATTCAAAAAGATTTTGGAAGCGGATCTGATCCATAAAGCAGAGGGGTTCAACGGTTTATGATACCTGATTTTATCTTAGCGCGCGGCTTTTCCACCGTATCTTTATGCCATCGCACGCAATAAAAGGACTTTTCTACAGCCCGACGTGACGGTGCTGGATGATAAATGTGCTAAACAGCGCGTCAATATAAAAGAGATAACGGTAAATGCCGTGAATATATGATCGATCGTAAATCTCCATGCGCCCCCGCGCACCAACACAATCGCACACTTCTCGATTTCGTCCCTCGTGTTTTTATATTTTTTGCGCATCAGATTTTATCCACGTTTTCATCTAGAAAAGACAAAATCGATGCAATGACACACGCACGCAACACACACACACACACACACACACACACACACAGCGTATTAAATAAATAAATAAATGTCTGCGATATATTCAAATACTAAGTACACAAACGATTTGCGTGCGTGTATTATCAATACGCAATATAAATTTGTAAGTACGTACATTTGTTAAATTAAATAAATTAGAGTGAAACATGATGAAAGATCTA